AGCCATTTGAGGAGTGAACCAGCAGAAGGAAGAGCTCTTTTTTTTTTTTTTTAAAGATTTTATTTATTTATTTGAGAGGTAGAGTTACAGACACGGAGAGGGAGAGACAGAGAAAGAGAGGTCTTCTATCTGCTGGTTCACTTCCCAAACGGCCACAACGGCTAGAGCTGGGCCAATTCGAAACCAGGAGCCAGGAGCTTCTTTCAGGTCTCCCACGTGGGTGCAGGGGTCCAAGTGCTTGGGCCATCTTCTACTGCTTTCCCAGGCCATAGCAGAGAGCTGGATCAGAAGAGGAGCAGCCGGGACTAGAACTGGCACCCACTGCAGGTGGAAGATTAAACTACTGAGCCACAGCTCTGGCCCCAGGATGAGCTCTCTCTCTCTCTCTCTCTCTCTCTCTCTCTCTCTCTCTCTCTCCTCCTCCTCTCTCTGCAGTTTCTCTGTCTCTGTCACTCTACCTTTCAAATAAATAAAACAAAGTTTAGAAAAAAGAAGAGGGTTGGGGCTGGCGTTATGGTGTAGCACCCCAAAGGGGCACTGATTTGAGACCCGGCTTCTCCACTTCTGATCCAGCTCCCTGCTAGTGTGCCTGGAAAAGAAGCAGAAGATGGCTTGGGCCCGTGCACACATGTGGGAGGTCTGGAAGAAACTCTGAGCTTCTGGCTTCAGCTGGCACAGTCCCCGTAGTTGCAGCCATTTGGAGAGTGAACCAGAGGATAAAAGGTCTCTCTCTGTCTCTCCTTTGCTCTGTAACTCTGCCTTTCAAATAAATAAAAATTAAAAATTTAAAAGGAAGAAGTCTTGAGACATGTGGGGGACACAGGTAAATTTTAGGTGTCCACGTGCTGAGGAAGAGCAGGAGACGGGGCCTTTGGGGGCAGGCAGGTAAGAAAGAGAGGGCAGCCGGGCTCCCTCTGTCTCTCCCAGACGGCTCCCAGGTGTTGTCTGAGCATCTGATTCACACAGGGCAGTGCCTGGTGCTCCTGGACCACCCTAGACCCCTCCTCCAGGTGCCTAGTGTTCCCGCTGGCTGTCACTTGCCAGAGCTGCCCAGCAAGGCATCACCACAGAGGCATCTGGAGCCGCCTTTCTGTAGCCCTGAGGCCTGAGCCTCTGGCTAGCTTCTGCTGACACAAGCCTTGCTGATGCGCCACATCGATCTCGGCTCTGCTGTCACTTGACCTGCTCTGTGTTGCAAATCTCTGCCCCCATCACTGGATCCCGGGCCCACCCTAAGCCCCAGATGCTCTCAATCGAGGTCTTTAATTCCAGTAGTCTCCCCTTTTCAGAGGTTTTGTTTCTGCAGTTTCAGTTACCTGCTGTCAACTGTAGCCCAAAAAATGTTACAGGGAACATTCCAGAAACAACTGAAAAGTTTTAAAATGCACACTGATCTGAGTAGTGTGATGGACTCTCCCATGGTCTGCTCCTTCCCGCTGGGGCAGGAACCACCCTCTGGGCAGTGGATCCACAGGGCACACACTGCCCGCCTCCTAGTCCCTGGGTGGCTGTCCCAGGTGTCAGATGAGCAATGCTGTGTTCAATCACCCTGATCTTATTTATAGCAGCCCAAGCACAAGAGCAGTGATGCTGCATTCGGCTGTAAGGTGGTTCCCTCAAGTGAAAAGGGAGAAAGCGCAGAAGGTATTGAGAGAGATTGTTTACATAACTCGTGATCTAGTATATCCTTATGACTGTTCTATTTTGTTATTAGTTTCTTTTCTTTAAAAAAAAAAGATTTATTTTATTTATGTGAAAGGCAGAGTTACAGAAAGAGGTAAAGACAGAGAGAGAGGTCTTCCATCCACTGATTCACTCCCCAGACAGCCACAATGGCTGGAGCTGCGCTGATCCAAAGCCAGGAGCCAGGAGCTTCTTCCATGTCTCCCACATGGGTGCAAGGGCCCAAGGACTCAGGCCATCTTCTACTGCTTTCCCATCCCATAGCAGTGAGCTGGATTGGAAAAGGAGCAGCTGGGACTGGAACTGGCACCCAGATGGGATGCCAGCGCTTTAGGCCAGGACTTTAACCCGCTGCGCCAAAGCGCTGGCCCCTTATCATTACTTTGTATTGTTAAATCTCTCACTGGGCCTAACAGCAATTAAATTTTACCATAGGCATGTATAGGAAAAAACACAGTACACACGGGGTCTGTTACAATCTGAGGCTTCAGGCTTCCATTGGGGGCCCTGGAATGCACCCTCCTGGATAAGAGGGCTCTGCCATTAATCTGCAACCACCCCATTTCCAAATAAGGTCTTATCCACAGGTACTGCGGGTTAGGACTTGCACACAGCTGAATTGAATTGTGGGGACACAATTCAATCCACGGCACCATTTTATAGATGAGGATACAGAGTGGGAGGGCCTCTTACTAGTCACAGAGCTGGTTCAGGGCTCAGCCAGTCCAGGGAGAGAGTCATGCCCTCCTCCACTGTGGCAGCCTCAGAGTGGGCCCCGCTCAGCCGGCTGCTGCCTGCTCGGGTCTGTGACAGCTACACGGCCTCCCAGCGGGACTCTCCAGTGGAATGGCAGAGGGTCTGAGTCTATACACTTCAAATGTGCAGAAGAAATCCTCTGTGGGCCGGCACTGTGGCTTGGTGGTGGGGACTGCCATCTGTGGCACCGGTTCCAGTCTCGGCTCCTCCACTTCCGGTCCAGCTCCCTGCTATGCCCTGGGAAAGCAGTGGAAGATGGTCCAAGTGCTTGGGCCCCTGTACCCATGTAGGAGACCTAGAAGAAGCTCATGGCTCCTGACTTCAGATCAGCCCAGCTCCAACCATTGTGGCCACTGAAGGAGTGAACCAGCGGATGGAAGAACTCTCTCTCTCTATCTCTGCCTCTCTGTAACTCTGCCTTTTGAATAAATAAACAAATCTTTAAACAAAAAGAAGAAAAGACATCCTCTGTTCCCATGTGGTGTGAGGATCCTGAGCCTCCCACTGGGAAGGGCTCTGGTCTCATAGGCACTAGTGAATGCTTAGACTGGAAGTGGCAGGAGTGGACACGGATGGGCAGAGCTGACCCCACCCACTGGACAGCTGATCACAGACTATAGTAGCACAGAACTGAGCCAGGCCAGCCCCTTGCCCACTGCAGGAAAGCCAGGAGTGCCTGGTGCCCCCCTCTCTACTAGGCCAGGGGCTTTACCTAGGTGCCTGTTAGCACCCACTCCAATGTGGTGACCCTCTGCTGATAAAGACCCTGACAGCTGCTGGTGGCAGAGCCAAGACTTGGCCCCAGTGCCGACTCATTCAGAAGCACTATCTGTGTCACCTCAGGGCACTCCATTGGTCACCCCCGTTGGGGACTTTTAAACTTTTTCATCAGCAACCCACAGTAGCCAGCATCCCGTTCACACTGCCATCCTACAAATATAAATAGTTGAACCCAATATTCCCCTCGGTATTTTTTATTTCAGTCCAGGTGGTTCACAATTTAAAAGTGCTGCTTGCAACCCATCAAGTGTCATTCTATCTCATGAACGGGCTGTGACTCCTCCCCTTGACTCACATGAGTACACAGTGGTCCCTCAGTATCCACCAGGGGTTCCTTCTGGGACCCCCTTGGATACCAAAATCCACAGATGCTCACGTCCCTTCTATAAAACAGGATGGTATTTGCACAGAACCCGCACATGCCCTCATGTATACTTTAAATCATCTCTAGAGGACTTATGATACTAATACAACACCAACACCTCATAAACAGCTGTTAGGCGGAATTGTTTAGTGAATAATAACCAGAAGGAAAAGTCTGTACATGTTCAGTGCAGATGCGATTTCTTTTCTGATTATTTTTGATCCATGGTTGGTTAAATCCACAGATGTGGAACCCACGGATGGGGAGGACGGGCTGCACACCCACACGGCACTGAGACAGGAAGAGGGATGGTCCCCAACTCACACATTTCGCGGCTCATCTAAAACGTCAGGAATTTGTGTCCCTAACCAATGGCCTCTCCCAATTCTGACCTGCTAATGGTGGCATTACTTGTCATGTCCTTTTCCTTTTAGTAAAACCTCAGAGGTCCTATAAGATCTTGAGCTTGACCATCAGCTCCCCTCCCTGAAAGTCTCGGAGGCTGGACTCTTACCCTGTGGGTCCCTCCTTTGCAGAAGGGTCCTGCACCCCTGAGGTGTCAGCAGTGAGCCTGGTTTCTGGACCAGCTGCAGTGGACCTGGGAAATGCCAGACAACTTGGCAAACGTAAAGAGTGAGAGCAAGGACAAGGTGCACTGTCCAGCTCCTGTGTTCTCTGAACTGAAGCCAGAAGTCGCCCTTCCCTGTGTGCTGGGAGTCTGAGGTCCACGACGATTCCCCAGGCACTCGCTGGTGCTATACACAATCCTGGGCAATGATCACTCTGACCCTGAAAATGCCACGGTCAGAGGCCACGCCATCTCCATCACAGCTCACACCACGCTCCCCGAGAACAAGGAGAGGACCTGATATGGAATCTGGATGTGAACCACACGGATCAAAAATCAACAATCAATACAAACCCTGTTTTTATTCACAGCCATCCTGGTCTACACAAGCAACAACCAACAGAGACAGGATCATTGGAATAATTCAAACTGCATTTCCTTTTCCTTTTCTCTGCTACCCACAAATAAACGAAAACACGAAGCCCACATTCATCAGGCTATTGAACTCCCCACCCCTACATCCGACACTGATCCTGTGCGAGTGGTGTCTTCCGTCAGTTCCTGTTTTTCCAGTAAAATGGAACAGCAGCTATACTGCTGTCATCTCTGCCAGCCCCTTATTTCCTCCAACAATATCACCCATAAACCACATTGGGTTCATCCTGCTGGGATCTTCAACCAGCAAGCCAGAGGAGCCAGGAGAAAGGACGCCCCCAGGGCCCTCCACAGGGGAACACATTTGAAATCAGACACAATCTCTTGACCAGAGCACTCAGCCATCCTGAGCAAAGAGAGAGAAGAACCAGGCTTTGGAAGTCAGGGGCCCGCCAGGAGCTGACCTGCACTTACCAGGGGGGCACACGCACTCGGATGGGGCTTCTCGAACAGTTCGGAGCTTGGCCAGTCCGTCCAACTTCTGAACCGAGAAGAAAAGGGGGAAAAAAAAACACATGAGGATGAGTTTCAGAGCAGAGAGGGTTAAAAAATAGGAAAACTGACAAGAGCAAATGCATATGAATGATCTATGGTGGTAGTAGTGCTTTCAAGAACTTTTCTAACAATATCATTAAATCTTACAGACAATTTCATTTTTGAATTAATATTCTTTATTTGGGAGAGAGAGAAAGAGTTGGAGGGAGACAGGGAAGGCAGGAGAGAGAGAGAGAAAGATACCTTCCACTCCCTGGTTCCATCCCCAAATGCCAGCAACAGCCAGAGCTGGGCCAGGAGCTGGGAACCCAATCCAGGTCTCTGTGGCAGGGCCATCCATCACGGGCTGTCTCCCACAGTGTGCTTTAGCAGGAAGCTGGACTTGGCAGCAGAGCCAGGACTTGAGTCCAGACACCTGCTGTGGACATCCCAAGTGGAATCTTAACCTCTAGGAGAAATGCCTGCCCCAACAGGCAATTTTAGAGTGAACCTTATTTTTTAGAAAAACAAAAGTAAACACTGAATACTGTTGAGTGCATGAAAAGAAGGTAGCAGGTTTCTGCTTTGTTACAACACATTTCAATCAAGAGTTTAAGAAAATCTGACACAGCATCCTGCAGATCAGGAAAAGTCAAAGGGGTCATCAGTAACACGAGGGAGGAAGAGTGACCCTCATCCTCACCCAGGAAACCCTGTGGGCCCTCACAGCTGCAGCTCCCAGGCCTTGGATGGGATGCTCCAGGTAAATCCTCCCTGACAACAACATTCTCCCCTCTTCTTTTCACTGGGGATCCTTGGCCCAGATAAATTTGGTTCAGTACAATCTGACAAGAATTTCTGCATGTGCACAGCACCCTGATCCTCCCACGGTGAATTGACCCTCGATGCAACCTTTGAGACCTGAATGAATGGTCCCTGCCTTACACATCAGGCTATGCAAGCCTGGAAAAAAGAACTTTGCCCAGGAGCCAGCACTGTGGAGTAGCGAGAAAAGCTGCCACCTGTAGTGCCGGCATACCATATGGGCGCCTGTTTGAGTCCCGGCTGCTCCACTTCCGATCCGGCTCTCTGCTATGGCCTGGGAAAGCAGTAGAAGATGGCCCAAGTCCTTGGCTCCCTGTACCCGCGTGGGAGATTCAGAGGAGGCTCTTGGCTCCTAGCTTCAGATCGGCACAGCTCTGGCAGTTGTGGCCAACTGGGGAGTGAACCAGCGGATAGAAGACCTTTCTCTGTCTCTCCTTTGTGTAACTCTGACTTTCAAGTAAATAAATAAATCTTAAAAAAAAAAGAACTTTGCCCAAATGCCACATCTAGCTTTGCAGGAGAGAAGTGACCAGCCCATCTCCTCAAAGTAGCCAGAACCTGAGTCCTGGTGAGGATACCCCACGCATTAACCTTTCTGTGGGGGAAAAGCATATCCCCCTAAAAGCAAAGCAAAGCAGAGCAGCAAGGTGTTTGCTTGTGTGAGTGCAGCAACCTTTCAGGCTGAACAGAAGAAAACCTAAGCCTGTGGCAGAGGAGGTGAGAGGGGTGCATCCTGACCTTGGGCCCTTCACTGCTCACAACACTCTGCTTGAACCATCTCATAGGCCCGTCCATGCACCGCTCTATGAAAGCCTAGTGTAGCAAGAACTCTGCCCCAGTGTCCAATCACTAAGGATGACTGGCCAGGTTCCCCACCCTCCAGATGAGGTCTGGTGGCCCTGGCCTGTCTTCGGCAAGAACCCCATGGGGCCAGCTTAGCAAGCACCCTCCCTGGTGACCAGTTCCCACTTGCCTAGGCTGTATTCAGAGCTGAGCCCAAACTCTCTCCCAGTGCAAAATCCCATTACCTACTGCAACGGTACTGAATAAAATCTCCCTTACCTGAATTTGTTTAAAACTAATTAAAAATTAATATTTAAGAAAAGCCAAAAAAAAAAAAAAAAAACGCAAAACCAAAACCCCTCTGTCTTACCGAGCTTTGACAAGGGCACTGAATTTAACACCGTTCAGCCTGAAATGTTCAAAGGACAGGACGTCAGCCAAGCCCTGACTGCTGCTGGCTGGAACAGCCCAGGACCAGGAGTCTGGAGCTACAAACTTCTCCGAGGTGCCTTCAAGACAGTGTCTCTGGCTGGCTGCAAGATACTCCCAGGTCCTCAAGCTTTCCCATCATCCCACAGGTACTGGAAATGGGTAAAGTATTAAGAGAGCATGGGGATGGATGACAGAGTTATTAACACCACGCAGCCAGAGGCGGCTGGAGGCTGATGTCTTCAGGTATACCTATGTTGTAGGCAGGCAGATAGGATAAAATTGATCAGGTTTGTGAGCTGGAAGACCATGCCTCCACCATGCCCCCTGTGTGACTGCATGCCCCTACATGGCCACACCTGTGCGCTCACCTGCCAATCAGGCTAATTAACTACTCCCCTTTGGAAGTGGGTTGAAGGCCTGAAACATAGTGGGCCTCCTTTCTTTTTTGCCTCTTTTGCCATTGCTGCCCTGCGCCTCTGGTGCGCCTGGCCTTCAGGCCACCTGCCCCATGCTTCCTGGCCTGTGTGCTCCTCTGTGTTGCTGGCTCCGGGTACTTGCTATGAATCCAGATTTCTCTCACTGAATAAAAAGCTTAAAACTTATCATGCTGCCTTGTTTATTTGTGCCAGTATTCAGAATTCTTCTCTGAACTCGTGAAAAGAACCCACAGGCTTATTAATATTGTGAATTTATTAATAAGCACCTGGTAACACCTCCCTGGCCCCTGCAGGGCCCTCAGCTCACCCCAGGAACCTGGTTACATCTCTGGACACCAGGCCCTCAGCTCCCAGCTGGACTTCCACTTGTCATTCACTCCTGCTCAGGCCTGAAGTCACCCAGCTGGCCCAGAGTGCCCCTGTTGCAAGGTGTCTGGTGTGTAACAAATCTTCCCAGGCAGACAAATCAATTAATTCACAAGCTTTTATTGGGATTCCACTCCTGGGCGAGGTTTCCAGGTCCCAATAAGGGCGGGGGGTGGGGGTAGGGGAGTCCTGCATCAGAGGTTGGGATGGCTCCTTTTATAGATACAGGGTATGGGGGTTAAAGGTTGAGGTAGGCCTGATCCTCATTGGTTGACCTTTAGGCACCCACGGGGACCTTGACAAGGACTTTTCTTCCCCCGAAGTACAGGTAGGGACTCTCCATTCCTGGAAGTATAGGCCTTCTCTTCTTGCGGGTTCCAAAGCTACCACCTGTGAACAGCCTGGGCTGTCCCCTAGCCTCTAGAGACCCCCAACAGCAGCCAAGGGCTCCTACCAGGTGGCAACATCCCCATTACAGGCAGCAGTAGGCAACACTCCCCCTCCCCTTCCCCCCCCAACAGGGCTGAGGCTTCTGGCCTGGGACCTGAGAGTTAGATGTTCCTCTAGCCTGGATGCAGGGCCAGTGCAGAAGCTGCAGGCTTGAGTGGCACCTCCGTGCTCACTCCCCCTTTTTCCATTGCATTTGTGTCTGCAGATACTCATACTAACAGGTTGCAAAATGCATTTAGGAAAAATCCCAGCCTTCTATCTTAAGCCAGCCCATTTATGTGAGAAGCTTTCATTGGTTATCAGTGCTAGACAGAATGAAAGGGACTGTCACACTCTTTTTTTTTTTTCCAAACAAAAGCATTTTTTTTAAAGTCTTATTTATTTGAAAGCAGAGTGACAGAAGGGGAGAGACAACGAGAGAAAGAGATATTTCATCCATTGGTTCACTCTCCCAAGAGCTTGCAACAGCCAGAGCTGAGTCAGGCAGAAGCTAGAAGCCAGGAACTCAGTGGGAGTCTCCTCATGCATGGGTGGCAGTACAAGGGTCAGAGTCAGAAACAGAGTAGACAGGACTAGAACCAATGCACCACAAGGCCTGCCCCTAACAAAAGCATTTAATGCTAAAAACAATTAGCTTTTAACAGCTGCTATTCACATTTGGGCCTCTCTCAAAGCAGAGGGGAGGTCTTATCAAATATTGATAGGGATCACAATGACTTCCAAGTTCTTCTTATCTTAAAGTAAAAAGCTAGATAGGAAAGGTTGATAAGAGAAAAAAAGTAGGTGGGGTGATGGATCCTTGGGGCTGAGTCTCTCTCTGGTCTTGTTAACTCCTAAGTATTTGCTTTCCTGGAGTGAATGTGCAGAGTTGTATCTCCTGGTCTCTCCCACCTCTAGACCCTCAACTTTCCTAGCCTTTGAATCATCACTACGGTGAACACAAAGGGAAATGTTCGAAACTAGAAACCCAATCTCACAGCCTTTACTTCATGCTTTTTTTTTTTAATTCTAAGAAAATATTCTTTTGTGTCCATGTTTGTAAAAATGATTTAAAAGCCTCAGTGTTTTACATTCAATGATCTGGCAGCACCCCTAGCATCTGCAAACAATATGGTCCTGGTTTTACATATGCAAACAAGCCCTGAGTCTCAAAGTAAATAAAGGCTGAGTTTCTAAGGAAAAAAAAAAAAAAAAAGCGAGGACAGTGTGGGGGTGGGGTGGGGGGGCGCTCCTTTCCAGAGAACTTGAAGCGTGGGGGAGGGAGGCAAGAGCTCAGGGGAAACTAATCAGGGAGTCGGCGGTTTTCAAAACAGCATTCCGTGGCCAGACGATCAATTTATTAATGATCTGTTGGAGCGCTCAACTTGAACACTCACCACATGTTTGATCACATCCTCAAGTGATTTTGAGTCGATGACATACAGATTGACATCCAAAAAAGGATGTGATGACTGATTTCTGTAAAATGCTGCAAAAAGGATATTCCCATCCTTTGAAAATTCCTGCTCCAGGGAATAGAGCCCCAGGAAATAAATCATCAGAGGTAAACATTCACAAAGGAGCTGCACTGCCAGACAGCAGACCAGCCTCTTCCCCTGGGTGACACTGTCACACATCATGAAATATCTGTAAGAAGATGGCGGGGACAACAAGGAGGAGTGCTGTGGCACAGGAAATGTAAGGTCTGGGTGGGCATGTGGCACGGTGGATAGGA